GTCCCAGTCTGTGTAAGAAATTGGGGCTAAGGGGTTGTTAGTGTACTGTTCGTTAATGTCGATTATGATAGGGTTGTGGTCAGAACTTAGGGAATTGGAGTTTGTAACGTGGAGGATGTGGTAGATGTCTTCAGAGATGGCAATGTCGGGGGTATTATTGGTCATAGTGTGTTGGCTCTGAGGGAGCATGAATTTAGAATTGTAAGTCTTGTGCGTAGTTGAGGAGCTTGCGCCCATCGGGGTTTGTTTTCCTGCAGCCCCAGGAAGTGTTTTTGGAGAAGGTTCGAGTAATCGAGTTCGGTTGTACGTGTATTGGGTGGTTTGTAGGCCGAAATAATGAGGATCTGGGCGTTTTCCATGTTTAGGGTGACCGACGTGTGTTCAATTGAGGTGTTGGCGATGGGGGGGTTTGGGGAATGGGAAATGGAGTTTTTGACAATAATGGCAGTGCCACCCCCTCAACTGTTGGGGCGGTCGTTTCGGTAGATTTTATAATTATTAATTTGGAAGAACGTTTGGGTTTGCAGAAAAGCCTCCTGGATTAACGCGATGTCCACATCGTTTTCCCGGAGGTAGCCTTCAAATTCGTACCTTTTGGGGTACAAAGAGTTGGCGTTCCAGGAAACAATGTGGACGCCGGCTGGTTTTATATTCATGCCAGTGCTTGAAGAGCCGGGCAATTGCCAATCATGGCAGCAATTTTATTTATTTTCGTCTGGATTTCGCTCTCAGGCATGAGCAGGAGTTGCATTAAAGCGGGGTTAAAGTGGGTGTTCTGTGGGGCACGGGGCGGGGCGTTTTGGGGTTCACGGGGGCTTTTTGGGCAGCTTGAACGGGGGGGTTTGAGACGGWGGGCTTTGGGGGTGCTTGATCCTGGGCTTCGGAAGCTTTGGCGGCGTAGGAAGTGCCAGGCGAAACTTTGTTTTGAAAGCTGGCTGTTTTTGCTTTTCCTTGCTTTTGGGCAAGAGAAGTTTGGGTTTTTGGGGCAAGAGTCTTGCCGGATGGGGACCATCGCAGTTGATGTACTTAACCGGGATGTCTCTCGGCTGTATAGAAGTGCTGTTGGGCGCATTTGTAGCAGAAGGGTTTTGCCATGCAGTTTGTCATTGTGTGGCCGAATTTTTGGCACCTCTTGCACTGAGGAATGTGCCTGATGTTTGTTTGGGGATGCCTTTGGGGTTCGATTACAACTGAGAGGTTTAGGAGGTACTTGACCTCAAAGATGCTCGTTTGCTCCTTTTGGGAGGAGCATTTTGACCATGTTAGTCGCCGTTTTGCGGTTTCCCATTCGGTAGAATTGGATTTCTGAAGGGGTGAATCCTAGTTCCTCGAGTTCGGCCTGAATTTSTGGAAGTGCCATTTGATTGTGAAGCCCTTTGATAATGGCGATCAACTTTTTGCCTTCGAGRAGGGTCGAGGSMTTTCGAACCCTAAAGGGCTCCGCTCGCGAGAGCTCATTTTATGATGTTGGAAKTTGCGCTGGAGAAAGGAGCTTCTGGTATTTCAAGAACTGGCAATGTCGATCACAAAATACACTCAGGAACACTACCCTGCTAACGGCACTGCACTGAGGGGCTTTCCGGAGCCCAAAAGGGGGGCCTGCACGTGCCTCTGAGGGAGACACGAGCTCGAATTTCTTTCTTGTTTAACCCTGTGCGTATACACGTGGTTCGGGGGGAGGGCAAAACACACACTAGTGAGACTTCAACCTCGAGGTTGGACCGCGAGTGTAAAACACTTTGTTCAAAATAATCAAACCAAACAGTGGAACGTTTAGAGAGCTGTTGTTCATCGGTCGAGAGATGATGAGCAACTGGGAGCTCCCTCTCGTCTGGTTCTCGTCGTCGCTTATATAGTTTCCTCCAGGTAACCCAGACGGTTCTCAAAATCTCCAGTCCAGGTGCGAAATTTCCCGCTTGTCAGTGTCATATTTGACCGCAAATGGGGCTCCCATTTACTGAAATACCATCAATTTCAATCCCCCTGTGGCGCAGATTCCCCCTCCATTCGCTCGAGTTGCGAGCGGAGGGCATTTCCGGAGCCTCTCCCCCGGAATGGGAATCGCGACCCTGTCCCTGCATTTTGAGGGATGGAATGGTGGATGCGCACGCAAAAAAAGAACCCAAGTCCAACGCACAAAATTTAATGGATACCGTGGGGTTTTCCCACGTACGGGATGCCAGGTACTTCTTTTGGGTAGTACCCCCCTGCTCTTCAGCATTCAAGAAAAAAAAACAAAATGGCGTGGGGTCGGTAGCCTTCTTTTTGAAGTACCCTGAACTGTCTCCGTACGCGTTTCCTTCGGGACTGGTTTACAGGACTGACCGTACGATCCCCGAGAAGATTTTTTTTCTTAAGAACTAATTAATGTTTTAACACTGTAAATTGATTTTTTTGTACAACATATTTTAATTGTGTTAATTTAATTACCTCATTATAACGCTGTTGTCTCGACGAAGAGCTATATGAAATAAGCGACATGAACATTTTTATTTTCCACTTTGACTGAAACCCAGGAAAGAAAAAATATAATAACATATAAGTAAGTTCCATTTTACGCATTGTAAAACAAACGCACGGTAAATCAAACGCACAGTTCTGTCATCATTCATCACAATATAAATATTGTAACTTATTGCAAAATACTTAACCTACTGAAAAGTGAGTGTGATGGTTTAAAAGCAAGAAGCCCGATATTTTGTCCACAAACAACATTAAAGCTGTACGAGAAAATGTGTTAATATCACTATTACTATCAATTTCTGAAAGTTTGTTCTCTTCATTTTGCAGTACTTGTTGACGTGCCGCTTGGTGGGTTGGTTTACTGACAGATATTTATTTTGCTTGAAATATTTTCGATATAATTTTTGCGACCGCCCTTAATATCCCTTTTCCATGTATCATAAAATTATGGTGCGAGGTCGACGTTGTGCTGATTACGAGCGTGTTTGAAAGTGAAGTAAGAAAAAAAAATCAATTGAGGACAGTCCTGAACGAAGTGCACTTTGGATGGGACGTACAAGGGTGATCGGTACCAAAAATGACACCACTGGTCACCTATAGCCTAATATTTATTTTTTATATTTAAGTTCATTTAGTTGTTTTTTATTGTTCGTTCGCTATTCTTTTGTTTGTTTGCGTGTGTTGATTTGCTTCTGTCAAGGCAATAAACTGAGTGACATACATTATTTCAGGGGTTACTACCCTAAATTAGTACTAACGCGCCGCGAGGTTTCTTTAAAGCTTGGCGCAAATTGGGACGCGCATGAGGTGACCCGACACGGGCATTTAAACCGAACTTGCTGCACGCCTAGCTCCGGATCCGCAAATTGAGACACTTCGATAGCAGTTATTTCTGGTCTGCCACCCGTGGTCTGGGTAAAAAAGTCCTGCACACGAACGACCAAAAAGTTAACATTTTTAATCCAGAACGTATCAAAGGTCTGGAATCAGGCGAAGTCTGATTTTTTCAGGTGCACTTTTTCCGTCACAGAAGGTGTCGCGAAAATGTTCTGAACTTGACTCTTTCCTCCCACTGCCCACGCTTCTTTATACTCGCGGAAAGGGTATTCCTCACTAATCCGCCAGAAGAAATCCTAATCCTCTACTCCTATCCTAAAATTACGCGAAAGAAAAAACGTCCAATCGATAATTCCCCGACCTTTTGAATTTCGGGGGTTTTCTCGGCGTCTCTATCGATTGTCTGTAAACAGAAATTTTGTTATTACGTAGATGGTTGGGAACTCATTGAAAAACTCGTAATTTTAAATGACTTTTTGGCACATTACCGGTAATATCTCGGTCATAACTTCACGGATATTGTTTTTCAAGTGCTCAAGAGTTTGAGGATTGTTGGCGTAAACACGATATTTCGCATAGCCTCACAAAAATAAATCTAGCGGTGTTAAGTCGCAGGATCTTGCGGGCCAATTGGCATCACTCAATCTCGAACTTACGCGTCCTGGAAATTTCTCTTGCAATAGGGCTCTAGCTGCCAGGGTTGTGTGACTTGTTGCCCCATCCTGCTGGAACCACATGTCTTCCAGATCGTAATCGAAAATGATCGGTTACCATGCGTCCATAGCGCTCAGTATTGACTGTTATGGCTCTTCCATGATCGTTTTCAAAAAAGTACGGTCTAATAACACCACCAGACCATAATGCACACCATACGGTCACCTTTTCAGGATGCAAAGGCCTTTCTGCCATCACCTGAGGAATCTGAGAGTCCCATATACGGCTGTTCTGTTTATTCACATAACCACCAAGCGAAAAACGTACCTTATCGCTGAAGAAAATTCGGTTCGAAAAATCATCATCAACTTCTTGTTGTTCAATCACCCAATTTGCGTCTGTTCTGCGTTGATCATGACCTTGAGGGTTAAATTCTTGAGTCAGTTGGACTGTACGGATGGAAGTTCAAATCCAATTGTAAAATTTGCAACAGACAAGCTCAAATGTTCAGCACGTCGGGGAATCGACGAATTCGGGTCTTCCTCCACACTTTGAGCTACAACAGCGATATTTTTTGCTGAACGATTGTTTCCGATCCAGTCTCTTCAAATTTGTCCACTGTGTCCGAAATTGTTTGCTTTGTGGGTCGATTATGTCGACCGTAATCTTCTCGTAAAGCCCTAAACATTGATACAGCAGAATCACCATTTTTATAGTAACATTTAATAATTTTTACGCGTTCTTCGGCAGTTAAACGATCCATATTTCAAAATGGCAAACCTTCAACAAAACAAAAACGCTTGGGATGACGTTTACCTTTGACAGATATCAAATAGGAAGGTTTTACTTTCCCAACCGCGAATTGGATAACCCGTTATTATGGTGGTCACAGTCGTGTGTAAGTGAACGCATCCGCTTGTCATGCCTGAGTTTCCGGGCTCGATCCCCAGACAAGCCGTGAATAATTTTCAGGCAGCTATACTGTGGCCACCTCGTAGAAAGCAATGGAAAACTACCACGATTGCCTATTCTGTCGAGGAAAACCTCCTCTCAACTAGTGTCGTTCGGAACCGGCGATAAACTGCACGTCCCGTAAAATTGTGTAAAATGATGCGTTCCACAAGTATACGCGAGATGTTGTCTACGCACTCGGAGAGAGTATGGCACAAAAAGAAGAAGATTATGCATTCGGTTCATTATAGAGCAAAACTTTATTACAAGATGTGCTAGCTGTTTTATTTGATATGAATATATCGTACACAAAATACTTGTACGCCATGTGACTCCCTGTATATTAGTACATATATACTCGCAACATTTTTAATATTTTAGATATATGCAGTTATTCAGACTATACGGCAAATAACATATTCTTCGTATTTAAATTATTGTAGGAAATTGTTCAAAAACTTCGAGAAATACAAACTAAGGCTGAAGAGGAAAAGTTGGAATATGAGAGGCAAATTAAGGAGCTTGAGCAACATATGGAGGAAGAGGAAGTTAAAATTATTGATCTTGAATCAAAAATTTATGATCTTACACTTGAGGTCGCAAAAAAACACAGTTTTTCTGTTGCGATTGAAGTAAGTAATATTAGATTACATTAAAGTCTAGCTATGTGCATTTCCAACTAATATAACACGAACATTTTTCAGCAACGACCTAAGTTGATTTTTGATGAGGATGATCTGAAAGCAAAAGAAGAAATTATTGCCGAGAATGAAATGTCAGAGTTAAATAAATCTAATTCCAATGGATATGATGAGAATCACATTAGCTTGACGGTAAGTGTGTTTAACAGTGACATTAAATAGTGATTTAAGAGTGTGTTTGGTTATTACGGATTGTTATACTAAGATTCTCGTTGACATATTTGGAATAAACAAGTGCTATTGATGCTATTGATTTTGAGGTACCGGTCATTCGGGGAGAAGTCGAACAGACCGTTATTGGTCAATATTTTCGTCAATATCATTTGATGCCCGCGTAAAAATGTACCCAACCGTTATATGTTCGTCAGTTAAGTTTCTAGTGTCATTAGTAGTATACATTTTTGCTGAATAAATTCGCCGTGGAACACAGGGTGAGGATTTTATGAATTGTATTTTTTTTCCTTGGAATGGGAGAACTATAAAAGAGACTGTTGCACACAAGGGAATACTTAAGATGAAAAATACAAATTAGTTATTTTTTCTGATGTGCTCTATTATTAGTAAACCCATGGCAATTTCATTAGAAAATATTGTTTTTTGGTCTCAGATAATGCGTTTTAGTAGAAAAAGACATTTTGTAGAGGTGAAAGCACATCATGGTTCGGCAGTATAAAAAGAAAATCGGTATTAATTTTAAGAACTACAATGAGGAAAACGTCGCTAGGGCACTCTAAGAAATTCGATAAGACAGAAAAAGTTTAGGACACCAAAATTCACCTTACGCGATAAGAAAAAAAATTAAATATGGCGGATAGCGCCTAATTTCATAAAAAGAGAAACTTAATAAGAATAAGAATATGCCTCTTTCAAGAGGTGCTGAGACCATTTTAAGCGCTTGATAAAGGGTCGTCCGCCTTTACGCCACACATATGTGTGAAGGCAGATCCGTTTATCTGAAAAAAATTAAGGTGTAATGACAAGTTCACGGGTTTTATTATGGAATTCGACAAAGGAGACACGGAAGACTAAATTATTTTATTGGAAATTTTCTTTTCAAAATTATACTTTGTATTTAAAAAATTCGTCCGACTTCACCCCGAATGAGGGTATTTCGTGTATTATAATTGAAATATTTGAAAAGAGTAATTATTTCCCGATTTTTTGAAATAGTTTGGACGTTGTGGCGGTGGTACTTTGTGAAATTTTATTGAAATGTTTCGCAGACAGGAATAGATTGCATTCTTGAAGGCGTCTGCTCGAAGACTTCAACTAAAAGCTGACACGTTTTTAAAAACAGCACCAGGAATACAAACAGGTGATCTGCAAGCTGAGACAGGAAAATTCTGAAGTTGAAAGGCGAAAGTAAGAAACGCAATATATCATGCCTGTCCCGGAGCGAACAATATACATATCTAACTCAAAATCAGCCCGACGCAAGGAAGACTGGAGGACTTTCAAACGACGCTATTCACTTTAACTTGCGCCCTTGCGCTGAGAACGGGCCCTCAATGTTTACCAACTAAACGAGTGCCCGCGATGTTAAATCCAAAGACAATATACATAGAGGATGATTCAAAATTGGCGTCATTCCTTTTAAGGGGTAATAGGGGCTCACTTATAGAGTACGAAAAAAATATAGATAAGACAGTAAAATAGCAGAAGCCAACTGCCAAAGCCAATCACGCCAACAAAAAAGGGCTAGAGGCAGTGGATATGTGCTCCATGAAGATAATGGACGACAATAGATGTTCGGGTTCCAGACACAGAGGAACAAATATTGGACATCATTGCAGCAGAGCCTTCCAGGGGTACTCAGAGCACAATAACTGACACTTTTCCAAGCACCAAATAAATACCGAGGAAGTCTACATTCCTACCACGTATACAGGGTGGGCATTTGCTGAATCTTTGTATGGGTAACTTCTACATCTTTAAAGATAGAGAATACGTTATTTGCCAAAATTGGGCAGAATTCGATTGCCTATTTATTACCGTTTTCAAAATTTAGGTACCTGACTTGGTTCCTGAAATATCCTGAAAAGACCAGAAATCAACACTTTGTTAATTATCACATATTACGTAAACTGCTTAACTTGGAAAAAAGTTAAAATTGCCCTTGGTAGAACTTTTTGCGTTGGATCCAATAAACCGGCACTCGTTGTCATGGTCAACTTGATTTACAAGATAAAAAATGAACTTAAGTTTTTTGAATAGTAATCATAGTGAGCCTTTTAAATACTTATTTTGTTCTGAATTTAACGATATTATTGTTTGTATGTTTTTTTTTCCTTTTGTGGCCGTAAAACTTCAAAAGATCGTAAAAAATGTGTAGTTGGCTCTGGAAACAAGAACTATATTATCACACAAAGCACGAAACAAAAATGAAAGAACGAATCATTTAAATTACATATCCAAATTGACTTCCGTTTACGTCTAGGCACTTTTGGCATTTTCTAATAATTTCCAAGGACACCTTTCTTATGGTTTGTGGACGAATACTTCTTATTAATAAACGTATTCTATTTACTAGTTCTTCAATATCATTGGGTTTTGTCTTGTAGATCTTGTTTTTAAAGGTACCCCGCAGAAAATAGTCCAGAGGTGTTAAGTCCGGTGAACGTCCTGTCCACCGACTGGGTACTGCATTGGCAATCCAACCAGGAAAATCTTGTGTGAATGTTGAAAATACGCCAATTTTCGATACGATGCTAACGGCAAACTATCCAACATGTCTTCAAGTTCATTTTCTAAAAGGTGTAACTATCTCTCGCTATTTAAATTGTGATTATAAAAGAATGAACCAATAATTTAATACTAAAAATGATACACCAGACATTCACAGAAAAAAACACGTTGATCTCGCTTATTTTCAATTAGATGAGGATAACATTAAATTCACTGGCAGTTTCTCTGATTGATGAATTTGTATTAAAATGGGTGTAAATTAAAACTCGTTCTTCATCTTGTTCTTTAAATGTAGTCTTCCCGTTTGTGTTGGCTTTTTAAATGATCCGTATTTTTTCAAGTTGGCTTCCAGTCGTGAAACAAGTTGTTTGTCTGGCAGTCTCCTATCCATGTGTCGGTCCAAATATAGATTGCTAGCCATTTTACTATTTCTATTACAGGTATAGTAACAGAATAGCATGTCATTCTTTTCCTCGTTAGAATACATTTTTCCGTCTTTTTTTGCTAGCAAAATGCACCATATTTACTTAGCAACAGTAGTACTTTTAACTAATGATATCTATTAACTCAAACTACTAGAAAAGGTAAGATTTATTTGACACTTAGTGATAGATACAGTAACCATTTCGTGACAATAATGCTTGTTAATGGTTTTCTTTTGAATTTTTACGGTTAAAAGAACACATAAACATACAAGCAGTTATATCGTTTAATTCAGAAAAAAAAGGTTTTTAGAGCCGTTTCACACGGGCCACTCTGCAGCGCTCCTCAGTGGCGGGCGCTGCTGAGAAGCGCGTTTTGTATGTACATTGATTTATATGGAGCTATTCACACGGACGGACCGAGGCCCGACAACCGATTTAGCAGCGCGTCTGTGGCGTTCAGTAGTTGACTACCGCCGAGAAGCGCTTCAAAAAGAAGCGCCACTGATAGAGATACATTAGTTCAAATGTTGGCGTTTACACGAGCCCCTTCAGTCTGCTTCAGGTTAATGTGCGCTTCTCAGCCACCGAGAAGAGCTGCAGTGGCTGGTACAATGTTACACTGCTATTCATCCGTTTATTTTCTTACGTCTTACGTTTTACGTTATGGCGACTATAAATCCAGCTTTAAAGGCCTGGGTTCGCTTGTGCGATTGATGGCCGTTTGCACCGTATGTATTTATGGACTTAAGGCGGCATTAACAGACAGCTCCCGTTTGCACCGCCAGCAACGATGGCTTAAGATTCTTAAGCAGGCCTTAAATTGATTTTAACCTAACTTKTGCCATATGTAATGTGTGATTCGTTGTGATTTATTTACGAAGATACTTTCTACTCTTCGTTCAACTTTGTCTCCAAATGGATCTTCATGACCTTTTACTCAATGACGATTTAGATTTTTTAGAGATTATTGAATATGGGTATCTAAGAAAGATTTATGATAGAGCAGAGCCTTATCTGAATTTGGACAACTTGTCCAAAAAGGCTCTTAAAGGCTTACCATTTAAAAAAACACAAGTTTATTTTTTCTCTCGTAAATCAAGTTGGCTATGACAATGAGTGCTAGTTTATTGAATTCAACGCAAAAAATTCTATCAGCACACCTACCACGTGCAATTTTAATTTTTTTCTAAGTTAAGCAGTTTACGTAATATGTGATAATTAAAAAAGAGTTGATTTATTGTATTTTTAGGATATTTCAGGAACTAAGTCTGGTAGCTAAAGTTAAAATCGGCAATTGAAGTCTGCCCAGTTTCGCCAATTTAGCGGATTCTCTATCTTTAAAAATATAGAAGTTAGCCATGCAATTTCATTCAGAAAATTGCCACCCCGTATAAGATACACACGGCACTAGGACAGATTAAACCAATGGATTAATGAACCCCGGTACAAATTGAGCAGGAGCTAATTAACCGAATACGAGAAGCTGCTCGATAAGAGTGGATAATAAGAAGATTACACAGGCACTAACTTCTTTCGAGTTAATCATTCAAATGTATTTTTATTTATAAATATGAATTCGAGGTTATGAGGGCAATAATTGACATTTTGAAGTACTTTCCACAGTCAACAAATCCTGTTGAAATTACCGTTTATCCTTGTGTATTTTATTGTCACTTTCTGTATAATTCTATGGTTGCCGAAGTTTTTAATAATTACGAAGCAACAGGTGTTTCCGTAATGTTAATCAGGCAGATTACCTTGAAAAACATTGTTGCCGTCTTTTTGATATAGATTTTTGCAAATTTCTTAGTTTTCAATAGCAATTAATGTTTTTAACTATTTTTTCTGTACTCCTAAAACACCGCCAGACAACACCTCCAGAGGAAGACGCCAATTTTGAATCACCTTGTATAGACAAAGCTAGTCATTCATAAATGCCGATTTGTTTACGAATTAAAAATAGGTGGTAAGGATAATACTACTAAAAGCTGGTTCCGATCGATATATACAGGGTGATTCAAAATTGGCGTCATTCCTCTGGAGGTGTTGTCTAGCGTTGTTATAGTAGTATAGAAAAATAGTAAAGGAAATGAATTGTTATTGAAAACTGAGAAATTTGTAAAAAACTATATCAGAAATACGGCAGCAATGTTTTTCAAGGTAATATATTACAGTGTAGGTGCTTTATGAATTAAGTTGAGAACCAAGCAGAATCTGGTTTAAATCAGTAGGATTGCTAAAATAATTATATACAGGGTTCGTTCGTAATTTCTCGCATCGGCGATTTTTTTTTAAATGTGATGTGAATAATTGAAAACCAAAACATCTCACCACGTGGTTGCGTCCGTTTTTTTGTTTTCAATCAGGGTTTTCAACGATATAGCTGCACCCACAAGTCAGCGGGAGTCTGCATCGATATATACGTACTATTTTCCTTTACCTTTTCCATACATTTTTTGTGCACCGAAATTCGCCAGAAGTCAAATAAAAACCCGAGGTAATAAAATATTGTAAACTTTTACAGACACCAGCAGTTTTCGGAACTGACGAAAAAGCAATGGTTTCGATTGGCTGATTGGCCAACCGAGAGTTGACGAACCCCCGATGCTCAGTAGATTTTATAATACACAAATGCAGTCAACCGTCGATTGAAAGTGAACCGACTCTTGGGCAGTTGGCAGTTCAACCCGGCTTTTACAATACCCAGCCTAAGTGTTCCAATAGGCTACTAATCAAACATGGGACCATTTGAAAATAATATTTGATAACAAAGTTGAAATTCGATTTTCCACTGTTAATATCTTCTAGAAATTTTCGAAACAAAATTTTTGAAGATTTTTATATCGTACACTTTGTATCACATACAAGTGAGCCCCTATAACTCATTAAAATGAATGACGCCAATTTTGAATAATCCTGCATTTATGCAAAATAGATGCGATAATATGATTGAATACTAATATAAATGTTAAAATTTGACTTTATTTTAAATCCAGTTTTTTGCAGGTTGCACCTGTTGAAAAATCCTGCGGAGAAGAGAAGACCGAAGATCTCGAATTCGAATCGATAACGAAAAACTACGATGAAGAAAGCCAAGCAAACGGAAAAGATAACGGAAAACGAGTATCGTTTAAAAGGGAGAAAAAAGACGCAAGTGCAGAGGTAAATAGTATATTACGGTACAAGACATGCATGACGGTAAGGAAAACAGTAGATCGTGCCGCGCGGGACTCCCGTTGCTATTTCTATATACGCTTCCCCACCGCCACTGCTGCTTCCCCCACCAGTCGACTGCGAGGCGCGCTTGAACAATTTTCGCAAACTTTTATTTTTGAAAACTTTTTGAAATTATAATCGGACTTACGGTAACGCATATAAGCCGGCTTGAAAAAGGCGCACTGCTAATTTTAAATCGCGATTTTGAGAAAACTATTAATCCGAAAGCACCCATTTACATACTTTTGCTCAAAATTTTAGCGCTCCAGCTCAAAAAATGACGGAGCTTTGAATTTTCGACAAAACGCCCAATTTTAGGGTTTTTCCTAAAATATTTTGATTCTCTACAAAGCATCTCGTTGGGGCATTCCCATTGCTCCATTAGTTTCAAAGTTATAAACAAAAAAAAACAAAACTCGCGTTTTTTGCAATAAATTGTTTGTTTGGTATGAAGTCTGCTCTCATGTTATTTAACGGTGATTTTGATGTTAAGAGTTATGATAATTGGCGAGTGATCTGAAGATAAGTCTAGACACGACTTAGCGATGAAGTTAGAGATGAAATCAATGAGGTCCGGTTGTTTCATTCTGTCTGTTGGCCAGTAAGTGGGTTTACCAGTAGATATCGGGAAATAATTTTGGCTTACATGGTTGCATAGAGCTATGACCATGTCAATTTCATGGTGCTTAATCCTTGACTTAATTAATATCGCAGTGCCATCATGCCTTTTTCCATGTAGATGATCGGTGTTGTAGAAGATGTAGTTTGGAGTTTTCATGTAGTGTTTTTGCATGAAATGAGTTTCAAAAAGATCCGTTTTCTGGATTGTTATTTGCTTCATCAGAAGTTAGATTGGCAGTTTCTGGTTGATAGATACCTTAAGATTCGACGTTTGCATTTTGCACGCCATTTGCGTAAGACATATTTTTCCGAATTACATATATACAGGGTGATTCAAAATTGGCGTCATTCCTCTGGAGGTGTTGTCTGGCGCTGTTATAGGAGTACAGAAAAAATAGTAAAATAAATTAATTGTCATTAAAAACTGAGAAATTTGCAAAAAACTATATCAGAAATACGGCAGCAATGTTTTTCAAGGTAATCTGGCTAATTAACATTGCCCAAATACCTGTTGCTTCGTAATTATTTAAAACTCCGGTAACCATGGAATTATACTGTAACGGAAATGGCCTGGGGTGCTCACGTTTGGAATGGGGGATCGAAATTCATGGTATTTCAGTAAATGGGAGCCCCATTTGGGCCCCATTTACTGTCAAATATGACACTGACAAG